GACACTGTCCTTATCCACGACTCCAGGCATAGTATTGCTGTTTGCACTTCCAACTTTTTAAAGTGACACCCAAACACTTGTAAATTTACACTAGAAATAATTGTCAAATTATTTGTTGCTATTGAACTGTGGCAATGCACTAAAACAAGGAAAAGTGAGCAACTGCATGAAATCCTCAGACTTAAGAGGAAAAAAAAATGAAAAGAACAAATTCCCCATCTTTTCTGCCATTCACTTCTAACTATAAAAGGTGAATTCACAACAAACAGCTCTACTTTAAAACAGATTGTGAGATTTACTATGTGTGTGCATGTGTTCATAGTGCCACAGGGTACATGTGGAGTCCAGAGGACAGCTTTGTGGAGTTGGTTCTCTCCTTCAAATTCAGGTTGCCAGGGCTGGGTGGCAAATTATTACCCGTTGAATCATCTCCTTCTCCCCCAACAGTTTTCAATAGAAATAGAAATAAACCAAATGGCACACAAAAGGAAAATTAATTTATATGCTTTTACAACGAAAATCTGACTTCTATTTACTACTTTACAAATATTTTGAGTAAAACAGTAACATTTTATATTCATGTTTATAAACCACGTAAGACAGTACCTGAAGAGCTCATTCAAGTCGGTAGATTACATAACCCTATGAAATACACAAAGCTGAGGGAAATAAAATGGAAAATACAGAAAAGGAAATACAGAGACAAGCTCCCTTAGACACAGAGTAACAGAGGCCTGAAACACATTTGATGTAGGAAAGAGACATATTAGGTCAGGTTTGGTTCACAGAGCTGATATTTGTGTCTGGATGGTCTGGTGGACTCAATGTACTTAAGCTAAAGACTGGTTTGACCTCAAAGTCAGCCAAAAGCCTGTTTTAATATTTAGTTGAGTTGAATACATTTTTTTTTTCTAGCATTTAGTTGTCGTGTCTGCAAATGTGTGCATAGGACCCAAAGCACTTCTCAGGACTTCATTCTCCTTCCACCCAGTAGAGCCTGGACATCAGGTTTGGCATTAAATGCCTTTGTCCACCGAGCCATCTCCCTGGCCCCAGATTAGAAGTCTGAGCAGCAAAAAACTTAAGTGTTAAAGTTCGTCTTCTGAATCTTGGTCATCGACTTTCTGAGGCTGTCTCTTAATGTTGATTATTAAATCAATGCTTAATATTTTTATCAAACACTGAATAACTGAAGTAAGTAACTGGTACTTACCAGCTACTGACTCCAAGCCTGACTGACCACTTACCATGGGTTGGTTGGTTTGCAGCGCGTGGAGAAAACGTGTATATATGTATGGGAAGCTACCTTTCCCCTTTTTAGGCTTATGAAGGATTTTAGGGATGCCTAAAAGTGCACTAGCTATTAACATACCGACCGTGGCTTCATCCGATTGCCGGCACTGCCTGGCATAGCTGAGAAGGTAGTAATGCATCAGAATCTCAAAATGGCCCCCCACTGGCAACACACAGCCTGCTGGCACAGCTGATGAACAGTAGCCCTGGGAGGCACAGGTCTCCGGTGACTGGTGCATCATGGACAACACGCACCCTTTTCTGGGATTATCTGTGACATGCAAATTTTCCAAAGAAACTTCTGTTCTAGTGTTTTCTGCTGTAGGATTTCCACTGGAATTACCCTGAATGAACAGCTCATGGTCTTCAACTATCAAGCCTTTTTCTGGGGACAAGCACTTCAATATTTCATCTGTTTGGGATGTATCTTTTAGTGTCTCCTTGTGCCCTGACCATGGCGTATGTGTACTTAATTCTATATCTGCTGCCACCAAATTTGAATATACTTCTAAATATGTGTGAGTTTTTTCCAACTTATTTTCGTTCTTCGCTATTGTGTCTGGCCACTTACCAATTCCTGGTAACTCGTTACTTTCTCTGCAATTGTTGTAAGGAAGAGGACTTGAGTCACATTGCTCTTTGGTTTGTGTAATGTAATTTAGATCCAAGTCAGTAAATAATTGCCGAAGCATCTTAAATGCTCCATGAAAAGCACTCTCATGTTGGTGCACAAGACCCAGAACTGGTCCGCAAAGTATCATACAGTGAGGTATAAACGCACAAGTGCTAATCAAGCCAAGATGAACATACCTCTTGGATCTAAGGACAAGTGGTTTACAAAATTTCACCAAAGTAGTATCAGAAATTTCACCCTGTGAAGCGACACAAGGAGAAAGACCAGTGATCCTCTGGACAAGAGAAACCTCTTCAGGTGATAAACACTCCACCACTGATATGCTATTCAGTCTTGCACAATAAATAACTAGGTCTGGTTGCTTCACACTGGACAGGAGCAGTGTTATATTCTGACTTCGCAAGTGTTTCATTACTGTTTTTGTCCTTTCCATGATCCAACACTGAGATGCCTGAAACTGCGCTTCTGAATTTAGAATAAATTCTGATCTGGATGATGAAAACAGAGGCTGGAGGATTTCTGTTATCATCACCATCCTTATGTCTCCATCTGCTGGGCAATACACAGAAAAGTCTCGGGGAAGCACAAGGCCACCCACAATTCTAGAATCTGAAACAGGAAGGCCCGACACACCAACATTCAACAATTCAAAACAGTTGTCCACCAACTCAAATACTTCAGCCCCACTTTCACAAGCCATACACTTGAAAATGTAGTCACACATCAACTGTGAGATGAATCTGTGGTTGTTTCTCCCCACTCTTCCACAGAAGTAAGCTTCCAGGAGTAGCTCTACAGAGCGCCTGCACAGTGTTCGTCCTTTAGCAGACGAAGAAAAGACAGACAAATAGTGCCTGCTTAAATACTGGTCCACAATACGATCTAGTATTTGTGTCTGAAATGTTAGCAGAGCCTGGGAAATACTTTTCCACTGACAGCAGATTTTCCAGTGCCTTTCATGGGTCTGAATATTTTCAGAAGTGAATGAATATGTTTCTTTTTCCTTCACTGTATGAAGTCCTCTGAGTAAATGGCCAAGAAAAATAATAAATGTTTTAGCACCATCTCCTGTTTTTTTAAGGTGACTGGAAACACACGCCACTATCATCCTGTATAGAGAAGGAAAAAAGAAGTAACTCAGATATTCTACGTTGCTGCCAAGTTAAACCCGTATTTTCATAGCTACAGACATAAAGACTAGTCTTTTTGACATACAGCCTTAGCTTTACTTTTTCTAGGCTATTCTATTTCTATTCTAAGATCTGAGGGATGGGAAAGAAGTGTTTTAGGTTGGTGGTGAGGTTTGGACAGCACCCTAACCCGACATCTCCACTGGTCTTACCAGGTTCACGGCCTGAAGACCAGATGGGAGGTTGGGGGAGACTGCAGCCTGGCGGGACTGCAGGTGGAGCGAGGTACCTGGCTAAGGGATGATCCAAGAGCAGCGCCCCCAGGAGGCGGCCTCCATCCCGGCTGAGCAGCACCTCGCCAGTGGGCTTGGTACACAACACTTGGCCGCCCTCGGGACCCACGCAGCGGTTCGCGATGGTTTCTAATGCTTCCACCACCCGCAGCGCCGCGGTCACGGACCCCGGCGACGCCATGGATCCGGAACCATGGGAAACGCCCCCGTTAGGCAGAGGGAGGAAGGTCAGAACCGCTGGAGGGCGGAAGCGGAAAAGGCGGAGAGAAAGCCGGAAGTGCGGTAGATTGGCCATCGCCTCGCGTAGCGGAAGAGCCCTGTGCCCCGCAGTGGGGTGTCCCGGGGTCTCCGGGTGCACGTCTGCCGTCAAGCTCTGCAGGCGACCTTGGCCTCTGCACCCCTAGGTCTGCACACGGAGGGGCTGGGGCAAAGGCTCGTAGGTACCGCCCCCATTTCAGGCTTACTGCTGTAGTGCCTAGGCTGTATCGGTTGCGCGCCTTGCCTTCATGCAAATATAGTTTTATATATATAAATAGGTTTAGGTCGCAGGGCCAACGCCGAGAGGTTGGCCACCGCCATTTTTAGGCTGGAGTGTGCCGCCTTTTCCGCGTTCAGGTATAGAAGAAACCTCCTCTAGTTTTACCACCTTATCAGAAATAAGATGTTTTCCCTTTATTCACATCGGTTATCAATCGTGTCCGAGTCAGCACACGTTTGCTTCATGTGCTGTTTACAATCACAAATATTTCTAATACTAAACAGGCTTCAGGGAGAGCTTTAGCTCTGGATTCATAGCTGAAGCGGTTCTTCCAGTCACTCGACCCCGACATTCAGCAAATAAAGTCTGGTTCCTGCTTTCCTCATCTTAATAAAATCTGAGCTAACAAAAAATCTTGAAAGTTCTGAGGAGGATACGCCAGAAAGTACTTTGTATAGTTTGTAACACGATGTGCAGTCAAGTATTTGTCCGTCACTCATATTCTTATGGTGGACCTTGACACCCACAGGAAAAGAATGCAGAACAAAAACGTCAATATTAGCAGGAAACAGATCTTGTAGATATTCACTGAAAGTTAACACTGACAGCTGTTTCCTTATTCCATTCAAAACAGAAAATTGTAGGCTCTCCTTCCATTATTTCCAGAAATAGCAAGTGGTTCTGAGGGGCAAGCTAGAATAGGGAGAGAGGAGGGTGAAATCAAGAACAAAACTTTCCTAGAACTTAGCTGAGGTTTACTCAGTGTGGGCTTCAGATAGGTGACTGGAAGGGAAAACAGCATTTCGATGTTAATGCTTTTTTTTTCCTCCTCCTCGTTGCATTCATCATAGGACATTATCTTAACATATACTTAACAGGAGGTTATTTCAAACATTTAAATACTACAGTCAAGGTTCTACTTAAGTGCACTGTGTCACTATGTAGACATAATTAAAGGTTTACCTTTTCAGAAAGCTTGTGCTTTCATTCTTACATATGAAATATGTAGTTTCCACTTCTCTTAAGAATGGATATAAAGTACCAAGTAAAACATGTTAAGGGTTGTTAAATTCCTGTCAAGCCTGTACCCATCTTTCGCATGCATGCACACACGCACACACAAAATGAGAGGATTAGTTACTGTATTATATCAAGAATCATTGAATCACTGATTGTTCTTTTTAAAAAAAGTTTATTTAGAATACCTACTTGTAGAGGTTAACATAATTTTACAGATCATTAGAAAAATTCTTTTCTCTCTGCAAACATAACAGGTTAGGAATAATAGATTAGAAATGTATACATTACAAAACCGCCTGTGACTATCTATACGTTTACTATGCACCTTAAAAGAATTCAACAGCGTGTTATACTTACATTGCAGGTAATAACATACTTATATCCTATCATACAAAACTGACCAGTGGTAGTGCTTGATTTTATAAACAGCCATTAACTGAAGTATTTAAAATTAAATGTATATTTAACATGTCAAAAGTGGAAATAAATTCAACTGAAGTTCTGTGGCTTGTAATTCAAATGTTTCATGGCATTTTTTTTTCAAATAAAGAATTTCAATATATGATAATAAAATAATTTTCATGATAAATGAAGAGGCTAATTTTTCTAAATACTTCATATTAAGTATAGTCACATCCACTTTTGTCAAGGTTTTCCTGTGGCTCTCACTAAATATGTTAATCTTATTAATAAGACACTGGTCCTGTACAATTTTAACAGTCCATCTTCAATTAAAAACTGTAACAAAATAGTATTTTAATTGTAACAAAACTGGATATACTAAATCCACACAATACATAACAAAATGAAACCAAATTATGCAGTGGTGGCAGATTACACATTTTAAAGAATCTCTTTTTATACTTAGTCAAAGAAAGAAGCTGAAATGTAAACTTATTGAATTATGGGAGGTTCTTCTTACTGGGTCAAATTAGAAAATTTGATATAAACATGCATATTTTATTTATTTATATTTAACATAATTCAAAATAATCTGCAGTTTCATGTATGGCTTATCTTATGCCATCATCCCTGTAATAAGACAAAAAAGTAAAACAAAACTATTTACTGCTGACTAGAAATGCTAAACATTGAAAAAACGATGACATTTTATACATTTGTTTTTTAAAATTTTGATGAAGATATTCTTCAAAAAGTTAAAACTGCCTTCCACAAAATTCTGTGAATATGGCACATGTTGACATCCAAAACAGTGTGAATTCCATCAAAAAGGCACTGTTTACTAATACTCAGAATAATCTAACAGGTTTACTTCAGTGATGTCTGAGTATGAAGATATTTCAAATAGTTAACTAGACAAACCCTTATAAAAGTACAGCATTACTACTTACATATTCTTCAGCTATATAAAAGGAACTAAAGTGATACAGAGAAATGACCCTTTTATGACAAATAAGCCTATAAACACTTAGAACACACTACAGTTCTGTAACAAAAAAATGACAAAAAAGTTTCCTTAAAGGCACAAAAGCATGAAATATTAAATGAGGATTGTATCTTACAAGGCCAACTTTTCAATGGAATGCAGTTGTCAAACTGAGCTGTGACAAAGATTACCACTGTGCCTTTCTAAGCCATACTCAGAAAGTAGAGATAGAAATGACAAGTATCTATTGCTGTAGCACACCAACACCTCAGATGTTTATTACTATATTTTCCTAGCCAGCAACGACTCACTAAGTGGATGACAACTGAAGACATTTAGCAACTGAAAAATGAAAATACCAGTAATTATTATTACTTATCTAAATTTTATGTGAAAAAATAAAATTTCTGATGAAGAAAACTGGTCATAGTCAAAAAGCCCTAGAAACCGCATGGCATGTGCAGACAGTTTGGAACACTGAGTCACAGCCATTATGAATCCATTTAGATAACCCTCAGATCAGAATGTTCAAAGTCATCACAGTCTATCTAAACTCAAGTTCAATTATATGTTGTTTAAAGGACTTACATATGAAGCCACCAATTCCTGAGTTTTGTGTTCAGTTCACAGAAAGAAACTCATACAACTAAAAGTGTCAGACAGGCATTCAATTGAACATAAGCTTTTAGTGTATAAGAAATAGTCACCCTGTTGATTAGTTTCTGATTCTTTGGGTAAGGATCCATTAAAATTAGCTCTAAAGTGAAATTAAAACAAAAACAAAACAAAAATAAACAAAAAAAAAAAAACCCCAATTACCTTTCTAGTGTCGGGTATCAATACAAATAAAGCACTGTTCAGATCACAAGAAACACCACAAAGGATTAAGAAGGAGCCCTAAGGCAGGTCACCAACAGTTTAACATCTCAGGGCTTAACAATGAAACGGCTTCTAGTGATCAACCAATCAGGTTATATATAATATAAATTAATACTAATTTAAAATCATATAAAGATCAAGTTGTACAATATTTACAAAAATCACATCAATGAATAATAGGCAGTTGAGCATAATATTGGTAGAATATGAATACAAAAAATATATTGACAAATATGAAATATAACCCAAAACTCCATAATAATGAAATACTGGATACAGGTACATCTTGCTTATGCTGTTAAAGGTTTAAAATATTTTCATATGAAATACAGCATTTTTATTTTATTTTATTTTTTTTTGCTAACACCACATGGGAAATGGCTTTTCATAGGAACCTAAGGATACTCAATATAGTTATATTCGTTTGAAAGAAGGGACTTTCGGTTTTAGCAATGTAGCAGTGATCTCTTGGTTTTGTATTCCTCACAGCATAAAGCTGACTGTAGTTTTACTTGTATCTCATCAGTTTCTTCCTAGTTGAAGGCAGATGTAGCCAGACCAACAGCTCTTTCTTAGTTTTTCACAATGTATAAACCCTTCTAAAACCTGTAGTTTGAGGAATGTAAATTTCATGAAATGTTTCAAAACTTAATTGCCTTTTAACGAAGTTTTTGACAATAATAAATATTTATGTAAAAACACAGTATTAAACTGAAAAAATAGGCAAAATCCCTTAGGAACAAATTTTGCCTGAGTTTGAACAGAAGGAATTGTGTAAAACTGTGGTTTCCACAGGACAATGAAAGGAGATAATAAGCTTCATAACCTGATATTCTCCAATGCTCAACTTATTGTACATTTAAGCAAACTGATTTGAATGTCTCAGAATAAAGGCCACTGCAGTGTCTTTTCTTACCGCTTTTTTTTTTTTTACTTTTGAAGTAAATTATGAATTAGAAACTTTCTCTATTTACTCACTGAACACTCCAGCGTCCAAATGAAAGCTAAAATGGTTTGTATACAGAAAACACCAAATTATCAGGATTTCACACACCCTATAAACACCTCTGACCATTCTGTTTCCAGCAAGTGCTTAAGGTGGGATTGTAACATATAGATCCATGTGGCTGCATACCAGTCTTTATTATTCATATATAGAAATATGTATTCACCTATAACATTAAGTCCTAGGGGTTAGAAAATCTTGTGTAAACTCTTAAAATTGTTCTACTTGCCCCTTACAATATATTATATCTGATCACTCACGCTTTTTTCTCGGTGTTTCTAAGAAGACAACTGAGCTAAACACCTGGGAGATGGATTTGACAGTAAAACATATCGAATTATTCATAATATATCTATTATCTAACATTTCTCCACAGTAATTCCTTAATGAACATTGTATGCCAGTCTTGTGAAGAAAACAGTTGACTATACATATATTTATAAGAGTGACAGCATTTTTGTTACGAACGATGGTATCAGAATATTTCATAACATACTGCAGAATACAGAAACTACTGTCAGGTAAGAGTTCTTATATACACACGTGGATTTATTATACTCACATGTAGGCACAGTCTCATAAAAGTGTTCTGGCACTTAACACAAGCTGATTTTAATAACCAAATAGAATAGCTCTTGCTTTGAGTTAAGGATAAAAGACATGAAAAGTAGGCAGACACTTCTACATTTATCTCCTAACTTTGTTTGATTCAGAAATATTGTGATGCTTGAATAAATGAATTTGAACATTGGTCCCAGGTCAAATGTGACCTTTCCAGTTCATTGATTCAACTGTTGAGAACTTCTACTTAAACATAAAGTTTATTATGACTTGAAGCAAAATCAGAAGGAAAATGACGAAGTAGTCTTTCTGTTGCAGAAAATAATCTGTAGCAGGTGTACTTGAAAGTAAATGATTTCGAAGAGCCATAATATTTCTGCAAAATAAGCAACAATAAATTTAATAATTCTTTTTTTAGAAATGTTAGCACAAAACTTCTTTTATTATACTTTGCTACTATACTGTTACAAGGTGTTTAATTACATTACCTAAAGTAACATAGTGCACTCTATTACTACCTTAACCAAGACCTGAAGCTGCCAGGATTCAGGTTAGCAGCTTGTAGGTATACTGTACCAAGCACAGTACTTTATGATACCATATCAAGCATAATTATCACTATTTAATGATACACAAATATATTATCTTTTCTATTACAATAGTGGTTTCAAGAAAAGTATTCTTTAGTTGGCTAAGTTTCTTTTATCTCTAGTTGGGGGACAAGAGTGGAGTAAAAATTCCAAATTCTCCAACAAAAAAATATCACAACAGATTTCCCAACACTCTCAAATTGAAGAATATTCAACAGCTTTTCTTGTGCTAAAAAACGTGAATTTACTCATGAAATATACAGAGTATCTTCACAAGGAGCTGATGAGTGATTTTTTTGCTTTGGGATTGGGCTATGAACAGAAAGGAGGCAAAAGCAACCAAGTAGGTTTAAACATATAATTAAATTATATAACGTGAACACCAGTTTAAGGCACGATAATCCTCAAGATGCACATGCTGTTCTGCCTGCTCTGAAGGACCAACAGCACGTACAAGAGCAACTATGAAGGGGGCTGGAAAGGAAGATAGATGAAAAGTTAGGTATGCTCATGTACAGGGCAGGGTAAATGATCAGAAATGGTACAAGTAGGTGACGTTTGAAAACAATCCAGTGGATAAGCCAAGTTTTTATTTTACTTTCTTTTTTGAGACTGTGTCTGGTGTCTGTCCCTCCAACCCTGCCACCTGCCAACCCCCTAGAATGCTTTGCATAGCCTAGGCTAGAGATTTTCCTATCTCTGCCTCCTGAGTGCTGTGATGAAAGATGTGTACCACCACACTCAGCCAGAGTTTTTCTTGATGAATAAAATGGAAAGAAGGGCAATCTGAGAAGTAGGGTTATTAAGGGCAATGGTCCAAATGGGTGTGCACACAGCACGGTAGATGGAGAAGGTTCACATGACAGAAGCATGGGGCAGGACAGGTCCAGGGGACAGCAATGAGGCTGGAGGTAAAATCTCAGCTGCATGTAAGAGAGAAGGTAGCCAAGAACAGAGGAAGATTTTTCCTATTTAATTACCCTAAACATACATCCTTAATATTAAGCATTTGGAAAGTTCCATAGCTAGTCTCAGTAATGGGACAGAAACAGGAACCGTTTTCCTCTAGGCCCTCTGTTAAGTGTTAATAACTATTAGGTGCTAGATCACGGAGTGGTGTGTGTGTACATGTGCACGCTCATGTGTGAAGTATTCTGGTCTCTGGGCAGTGACTATGCTATGCGGGTATTTCAGTTTTTTATGAAATGGCACATTACAGTCACATATTAGCCACATATCTGGGAGACTGCAGGAACAAGCAAGTTGGTCCACTTTCTCAGAAACAATTTTTCTACTACATCTCCCCCAGCTACGTTCCTAGCATGCCATCAGCAGTAAAACATTCTACCCTCACCAACAGAAAACCCTCATGATTCCATCCCTCCCCTAGTGAACATGGGAAGAAGTTTTAAGTTTCAGAATTCAGGCAACAGAGGCCAGGGCTCTAATTTAAACCTCAGCAGAATTATGAAGGCGTGAAGTTTGCATGATTTTATGTAACAGGGCTTGACTCTGGACTCAAAGGACTAGTCATTGTCAGAATATATCACCTTTTAATTTCTTCCTGTGTTTGTTTTATAGACTCAATGGAACTTTGAATGTCTCCCAGTTCAATCCCCTTCTTTCTTCGTGTACTTGGTTTTACAGATTGAGCTAAAAGACATTTAGAATGAGATAGTTACAATCTATAGTTGAATTTAACAACATGTATCATAACAACTTTTCTAGGCATTGGTCTGAATAGCTCATAGATTAACAAAATAAATATAATATTCTGCAGATATGTTCCAACGATAGAAAATCAAAACTAGAACATTGAACAGAACAGTTACAAATTAACTTGTGGAATAATTTGACTTTCTAAAGTTTATTAAAACAAGCAAAAAGAATTCATTTAAAATCTGTTTTAATGGACTGGGGAGGTGGCTCAGTGTTTAAAAGCACTGGCTGCTGTTCCAAAGGATCTGGGTTCCATTCCCAGCACCCATTGCAACTCACAGCTGTCTGTAACTTCAGTTCCAGGAGACCCAACACCCTCACATAGACATACATGCAGGCAAAACCACCAATGCACATGAAACAAAAAAATAAACTTTTAAAAATATGAATTAATTTTGGGAAAATATTACTCTCTCTTCCCCCTAGTCCGCTGGCACAGCTATGAAGAAGCCCACTTCTGAGCTCTTTTCAATTTCTTTTTAATCTAAGGGTAACAGGACTGCCCCAGTTCCATAGTTGTAAGGCATCAAGTGGTCAACAAACATTAGCAGACACATTACAGGCAATAGTAGTATTGACGAGAGGCAATTAAAGAGTTAAAAGTATCTCTACATCCATTGTGTACACAGGTACTATTCCACATATCCATCCTATGGGCTCCCTGACCTCACACAGGTTAACTAGTGCTAAGGTTAAGTTATGTTTAGTCTCCTTTGTTGTACAATGATACTGTAGCATTCTCTTTATGCTAGCACCCACACCACTGTACTGCTGGCCTCCTTCAGGATGCTGATGCCACCTCATGCCCCAGGCCTAGGGTAGCAAGCCACTGGAGAACCTAGAAACTCATCCTGGATCTTTCAAGAACCCTTCCCACAACCTGGTCTGAGCTCCCCTTCTTTTAAGGCCCTCATCATTTATCTCTAATGTCGTCATTTACTATTTATTCCTCTAGTATTACCTCTGTAAATAAATTAGGCTCCGCAGCTAAGTGTCAACTTAGACACTGTGTCTAAAATAGGCTTTTTAAAATTATTTTTTCAGTTTCATCCCTCCTTAATTATATCTCAATACAGTATCTGACTTGGTCAAGACACTATTTAATCTAGTTGTCCCTGAGTTGTTCATATTTATATTCTCACTTATCAGTGACTTCCAAACACTATTAGTTTACTTTAGGAAGCTCTTTTGAAGCATGAACTAACTCAAAATTTAAAATATGCTTCTTGAACTCAATCATCAAATGTTCATGGAAATACAAAGGAGCTGCTACTACATTGCACGGCTTATCTGTATGTTTCTCCTTTCTCACTTCCTAAACATTTACTGTAGTGACTGTAAGCTGGCTGCTCACCCGTAATCCACCAGCATTCATACCCAGTCCCTGTCTTCACACAAACTCATACCTAACAGCACAGTAAAAGACTTCCTTAAAAATTACTCACAGTGAACAACCTGTGATAAATATCTTTACCTTCACTTCCAGATGAGTCCTGGATGTCTGGTTCTGGGGAAGAATAACCTTTTGCCACTTTCTTCTGTTGCCTTGTTGGTTTATGTTTCATTTTTGGAACACTAACCTGAAAAAAATAATGATGATGATGATGATGATGATGATGATGATGATATGTGAATTTTCACTGTAAGCTGGAATTAAACCATTTGCATGCACAAATGTCAAAACCACCATTGGAACGAGGTGGTAGTGGCACACAACTTTAATCCCAGTACTCAGGGGGCAGAGGCAGGTGGATTTTTAAATTCGAGAGCAGCCTGGTCTACACAGTGAGTCCAGGGGAGCCAAGGCTACACAGAGAAACCTTATCTCGAAAAAAAACAAAACAAAATAAAAAAAAAAAAAACCCAAACCCAAAACCATATCAAACCAAAAAAACCAACCAACCAACAATGGGTATGATGCTTGGAAATCAAAGCTCAAGGAATCTAATGAAATTTAACAATATACACTGCACTTAGTTGATTTTAATTGGGTACAAAGACTAAAAGGGAAGAAATATAAGAAATAATCTCCCTCCCATTCCTGACCCATGTACACCCACTCTCACCTTCATTCACAGACCAGATGCAATGGCTATCAGTTTGTACACTTTTCCAGAGACATGCATATACAAGCACGAATACATCCACCCAACTGTTGTATGTATTTCAAATAGTGTCTCCAGTGTTTTAAACAGCTGTGTTTAAAAAAACATTCCTATCTTGTTCTCAATGTTAGAACATTCCCATTGGATGATGTTAGGTATACTTGGGTAATGCAGAAGGCAGTTTATGGTAAACAGACATTATATTATTTTTCAGTACACCTAATCTTACTAGAAGCATCTATTTGCAGGCATGAATTCAGATGTGTATTAAACATTAACTAGGGTTAGATTTTCTATGGAATTATAAATGATAAAATAATTAGTAGGTTTAGAATTCTCATCACTAGTCCCAAAGTTTCAGCCCTAAATGCAAGAGAAGGAATGAATCAAAGTTAAGGCGATATATATGCTTAGATATAGGGAGGTCAATGGTTACACATCTTCAACTTCCCATGTGATGTCACCATTCCAACAAAAGTACCCCTTGCTGTTCCTTGGGATAATTTTATAAAACCTTATATATGGACCTAAAATAATATCCACTTTATAATGTTTACTATGAAGGCAGTTTTTGGATTCAGGCTATTGTACTTTAGCTACTGGGGTCCCCAAAACGACAAATGGGGTCCACAGTGAAGGATGCATCAAGACTCATGGGTGTGATCTATGTAGAAGGAAGTGCACGTCTCATGTGTCTCCACCATGTCAGTGGGACATGACTTAAGGACATTTTACACCTTTAACCTCTGCACTGGAGAGGCAGAGACTGGTGGGTTTCTGCATTTGAGGTCAGCATGATCTGTCTACACAGGGAAGATTCAGGCCAGCTAGGGCTACACAGTGTGACCCTGTCTGAAAAAAAAAAAAAAAAAACCAACATAAACTCAAACAAAATTTTGCAATTTAAAATTCTGATAGCATGTATATATGATTGACTTTTCCATCTTTAACACACTATACATAACCGACTAGAATTAGTTATTTCACAATGTTGTATACTCATGTCCAAGATTCTCTAAGTCTTCACCCTTTCCTTCTTCAGGTCGCTGGATGCCTGGAAACTGCTTTCTGATTCTGAGAATCTGCCTACTTGGAAACTGTAGAATATTTGTGCTTTAGAGTGTGTCCATGTTGAAGCATGGACAGACCTTAAGTATTTTATGCAGAGACATAAAAAGTATTTTATGTCTCTCCATTATGCAGAGACAATGTTTTGTGTATGCATGTATCTGTTAATGGTCCTGCACTGTTTCTTTTCTGACCACTGTGGACATCATGCAATGAATACCATTACATTATATTTATGGTTCTGATCTTCAACTTCTGTGGCGCTGAAGAGCTGGGTCATGTGGTAATTTTGTGTTATATACTCTTTTAGGAACTGCTAAATTGTTTCTCCCTAACAGCTTCAAAATTTTACATTCCCATCAGAAATGTACTGGGGCTCTGGTTTCCCCATATCTTTACCAACACTTGTATTTTCTATTTTAATTTTTTTTAACATATTAAGTGGGAAGAAACTAATTGTGGTTTTGAGTTGAATTTTGTATGCTAAATTTAAACATTTTTATGCTTTTGTTTGCCATTTGTGTCTTTTTTGGAGAAATGTTCAATCTAGTCATTTGCCTTTTTTTCAAAACTAGGCTGTCTCTTTTGTTAAGTCAGGGATTCTTTAAGTATTTTGAATATTTAAGCATTGTTAGATAATGATTAGCAAATAATTTCTTTCATTCTGTAACTTGTCTCTTTGCTTTCTTTATGGCATCATCTGATGTTCAAAAGTGTTTAAGATTTATTTATTTGTTTGTTTATTTGTGTATGAGTGCTCTGCCTATCAGTATGTATATACCCCATATGGTGTCTGGTGCTGGTAGAGGTGACATAGGGGTATTGGAGACCCTGAAACATGAACTTTAAACAATTGAGAGTTATAAACAATTTCTATGTAGGTGCTAAGAACTGAACCCAGGTCTTCTGCAAGAGCAGCAAGGATTTTTTTTATTTTCACAAAGTTTATTTAAAAAACTATTTATGAAATAGAGTAATTTCCATTAATCATCATTAATAACAGTCAAAAACTTATAAGATTTTATTTCCAGTAATGATAAAATGATATCATTTTGAGTGAAAATGTATAAAAAGGCATATACAAAAATTTTAACTAGTATTCATTATTAAATATATTAAAGAAATTATGTGTTTATACATGGAGAAGAGATATACTAAGAAATATTGAAATGATTATATACATACCATAAAAGTTTGAGCAGCAAGGATTTTTAACTGCCAAGCCAGCTCTCCATCTCCAACAGCTTTTTGGTTGTTTTTGCTATCTGTACTTTTAGTTGTCTTATTAACTATTTCCTTATCTATTCCCAAACACAAAGTCATGATGACTTACACTGTTTTATAAGAATGTTGTAGTGTTAGGTCTCATTTTATGTACAAATCTATTCTAATTTATTTTCTGTACAGTACAAGGCAGGTAGATTTGCCTCTGTACCACTTGTTCAAAGAGCAGGAAAAATCATTGCCAAAAGTAATTTTAAAGACTTTTTTTTTTGAAAATTTATTTTTATTTCATGTGCATGAGTGTTTGCCTGACTGTATGCTTACACACATGTATGCAGTGTCTGAGGAGGCAAGAAGGTGCAGATCTCCTGGAGCTAAAGTTATAGATGGTTGGAACTATCATGTGGGTGGTGCCTGGAATAGAACCAGGGTCCTCTGAAGAACAGTGAATGTTCTTGACTGCTCAGCCATCAGTCCAAACCCTCAAGAGTAACTTTTATGGGTTCATATCTAGACTCAATCTTATTCCAGTAGTCTATATGCCAAGCCTATCTTTATATATCAGAATTACTGTCTGACTACTGTGGCTTTGTGATAAACTTTGAAACTGGAAAATAGGTCTTCCAACTTTGCTCTAAAACAAAAGAGAAGTTGTTTTATCTGTTCAGGGACCCTCAAAATTCCAGATAAATTTGAGGATCAGCTTTCCCATTTCTTTTGTATTTTTCATTTGTTTTGGGGGTAGCACTGCATTGTAACAATATGAACTCTTCCAGCCTAAGAAAATAGGCTATCTTACTTCTTTTCATCTTATTGAAATTCTTTTGCAGTGCTTTACAGTTCTCCCTGCACAAACTTTCCACATGTTAGCTCTGTTCATTACTGGAAATTTTACTCTTCTGGATGCTATTATAAACTGAACTATTTTCCTAATTTCCTTTTGCAATTTCTCACTATATAGAAAAACAAATGTTATTTGTGTGGCCATTTTGTACCCTTTAAGGTTGCTAGATTCATTAAGGTTGTCTAGGGAATTTAAAATTTTTAAATATTATTTGTTTAAAACCTCACATGACAAATTCTTTCTTTGCTGCCTTTAAGGCTCCATTTTTTGGTTTTCAAAAATTAGCTCGCCCTGTTAAAGAAGCTGGACGTCTTCGATTTGTAGATTCCTATCTGTTATTAGACAGGAAGACAGGAGTCTTTTTTTAAGCACCTGTCCCTGATGTCCTTGTAGACTCCACAATCCATTCAGCCCAGCAGAGGGTGTCCAAAGCTTGCCAAAGTTCTGTTCACTTTCTCATCCATATCCTCCTCCTCAGTCTCATGCTGGTTCACTTGAAGAGTTTTATCTCTTATGTAACTGATTCTGTTTTGTACCTACTTAAATCTGTTGTTAAGATTCCTCTAGTGAAAATTTCCCATTAATTGAACCTTTCAGCTCTTATATTTATGTTTTGTTCCTTTCTATAACTTATTATTTATACTCTCAGAAATGAGTGTCTCCCCATGTGCCTTCTAGGTAGTAAGTGTCCTGGGTGTACATGCATACGTGTATGTGTGCTTTGTCCCTTCTGGACTCAGGTACTTAGACTAGAAAACAGGGACCTCAGGAAGAGGTGAGGCAAGAGCTTCTACAATGATATCATGTCTTCCTACGACTCTGCAGCCTTTTCTTGGTCCTTTATTCCGTTAGTTGCTGCAAATGTTTCAATATTGGGAGAATTTTGGTAGTTTTTGCTTTTTTTTTTTTTGCATTTTTTTTTTAATTATTACACGGAATGAATGTGAGTCTAAACATGTCAACACAGAAGGATCTCTCTCTGTTCTCCAAAGTGACTAACTTCCCTTTATCTCCCTTGACCTCCCATAATTTGGGGATTATCTGAGTTGCATTTATGAACACTTTCATTCCTTGGCTTCTTATTTGCTTGGAAGGCATTTTCGTAATGAAGCACTGGATCAATAAAAGCGGTCCATAGGAGTCTCCATGCAAGAGAAACTGGAGTTTCCTAACATGCACATGATTTAAAAAATAAAATTAAAAATAAAGTGCCTTGAGATGCTGGCAGTTTTAACATTTGGAACCAAAAGCTCTTATGTATATTTACATCCTAACTGCTCAATGTTACCTTACAAGCTTCAATTTAGGAAAAATATACAGTACTTTTGCATATAATGGTACCTTGTGAGCCCCTGAGTCAAGTAGAGAGGATTTAAATACAAAAAGGAAAACAGCCATTAAAAGCACTTACATTGGATGTGGAGGAAGACAACTTGACTTCACTTTTAAAACAAGACAGTGATGTGTCTTCAGAGCTTGACCCAAGACAGAGAAAAACTTACCTTCATCCCATCCGGCATCCATCTCTGCCAGATTCTTCACTAAGCACTGTAGGGATCTTGGGTCTCCATAGGCATGTTTCTGATCCTGGTCTCCCAGGAAAGTAATCAGTTTTTGCTTTTTAAAATTTTTTTCTTTGGGCTGTCAAGAGCTTAGAGCTGCCCGATAGTCATTTACTTAAAATTTTAATTTTAAATGTAATTGCCATGGATACTAAAGATTTAGCTAATTTATAAGCCTATCAAATCTAGCTCTTTTTATGTTACATACCATTGGAGTGCGATGTTTCACTTTGGTCTGGATAACTCCATCTTTTTCAAATTGTATCATGTCATTAAGTGGGTCCCATGGTCGGGTACTAAATAAATAAAAAAAAAAATTAAATAGCCACAGAACTTAGTTTCTTTTTATTAGATTTCATGAAGTGTTACAGTAAAACACTGTTCTAATCTTAAGACTTTTTATGTCTAATCTACTGATTCTTAGCTTATTTGGAAGACTACTATCATAGAGCATGAAATTAATAATATAACATCAAGTTTAAAATATCACACTATGAAGTCAGGTGTAATGTATATGTCTTTAATCTCGGCACTGCGCAGAGGCAGGTGGATTTCTGAGTACAACGTCAGCCTGGTCTAGATAGCAAATGCCAGGACAGCCAGAGCTATCTCAAAAAAAAAAAAAAAAAAAAAAAAAAAAAAAAAAAAAAAAAAAAAAAAGATTAAAAGAAAAAGAAAAATTCACATTATGGGCTGAAGAGGTAACTGAGCATTTAAGAGCACTTACTGCTCTTGTAGGTAACCTAAGTTTGGTTCCCAAAATCCACAAAGTGGCTCATAACCATCCACAATTCCACTTCCAGGGAACGCTCTTCTTTCTATGCGTGTACACGGAACACATGAACTCATAAAAGCTCACACACAATAAACATAAAATTTAAAAGTCTGTAAAATTGTCTAGGCAGTGGAGGTACATGCCTTTAATCCCAGCACTCAGGAGGTAGAGGCACCAGATCTTTGAGTTCAAGGCCAGCCTGGTCTACAGAATGGGTTCCGTAACAGCCAGGGCTACACAGAGAAACCCTGTCTCAAAATAACCAAAACCAAACCGAACCAAAAGTCTGTAAAATAAAATTTCACACTACTTCATATGCTGATAATAATTAGACTAGAAGAAATAAAGGCAATAAATTATACTAATACATTTTTTTGATGTAAATGCTTAAATTACTTACTCTGAAAACTTATAGTGCCATTCTCCTGTGAGTGGATCAAGTTCAAATAACTTACAAGCCCACTCTTCACCTTTTGTTTTTCGATCTCTGGCAGCTTGTCTTTGAGCTTCTTCCAAAACACATTTTTCTTGAGTAGCTTCTGTTTGGTCTTTGGCATTTATAGCTCTTGTTACTCGCTGCCAGAGTCTAATATATACATAAAAACAATATTTTAAAAAAGCAACCAGAAAATCAACTCTATACAGATTTTCATTTTTGTTGAGAGCAAACACTGCTCATGTGGGTTTTGATAGTAAGCTCATGTGCTTACAAATGAGTCAAAAGACAAAAGCCAATTCCTCCAATAGGCAACAAGTACTAAGTGAAGGCTAATTTCTTTTTGGCAAGAGAAATCAATTGCATGGGTTCCTAAAGAGTGAAAACTGCTGATGGAGGCTGACAGGAATATGGAGAAGGAAGTTTTTCAGTCCTCACATTTTTCATTAGCTCCTTAGATCCTTAGGCCTCAGGATAATCTATCAGAGATCGGGGATGCATTAAATTCAGTCTCTCGGAATAGGCTCAGGAATAGACTTAAGAATAGACTTCTTAAACATTTCCTATATTTAAATAAACCTAATACTGTTGAGAACTACTGATTTAACAAAAAACAACATGATAAAATGATTTTCCCTATTAGAATTTACCTTTTTTTTATCAGCTAAATGAGTGTAATACCTGTACCTCCACTATCTAAGAGGGAACATGTCAAAACTGAACGGGGCTTTTAAATTTGTTATACACAGATTAATTTTCTGTCTTCCACTTTTAGCTGGTAAAAGTTTCTTTTTCTAAGTCTTATTATCTCTTACTTAAAATATGTTGGCTGTACCCAGTAGAGGACGCCTATGATCCCAGTACTGGGAAGAAGAGGCAAGATAGTAATAATAGTTCATGGCTAATCTCAGGTAGATAGCAAATTCAGGGCCACTTTTCTCTGTATAAAACTCCATATTAAAAATAAAAAATGTTGAGTTGTATACACACATCAAAAATGGATGTATGTGTTGGCTGCCTTTTTCTTTGGACAGGAGCAGCATGTGGTTGTCACGCCGAAAACAGGACTTTAAAAATTGACACATACACATTTTCTAATACTGATGGTCTAAGTTTTATATAGGAAATAAAGTGCATGTAGACTTGAACCATGGAAGAAGGGCCAGAGCAAGGACTCACAGGTCCCAAGTGTGCAGTAAAGAAATATTTACACAGAACTCTGAGCAGAGACACACAAAGCAATTTTATCTAAAAGTCTAAGTGTTCTATAAAGATTTTCATGACTTAATAACAGAAACTATGGCAGGAACAATGGCATTGCCCAACTAATTTAAATCCTTTGGAAACCAGAACACTGAGGGACATTACTCTTGTTTCAGGGGACAGAACAGAGAGATTCACCTCACCTTTCCATTGTCCTGCGGCAGGTTACAAAGCAGCTGCCAGGGGGAAACTAAGAACCACTAACTGGTTCTATAATATCATGCAAACAGAAACTTAAAGCATGGGAGTACAGGAGAGGAAACAGGACATTCCAGCTTTGAGCTGCAGAGAAACAAGTGCTTTGTCAGCAGTTTTTCATATCACATACAGAAACACAGAATGTTTTCAGTCTCACAATGACAAGCTTGCCTGTGGAGTTAACAGCACAGCAGACAGGGAATAGTGTGGCTACACTACTGTGCAGTTTGAAATACACCTTAATTTTCACGCACTTAGCTAAAAAATGGTATACGTACTTCTCTGACTCGAAATCATCCTGTTCTTCAAATTTTACAGTGTGTCTTATTAATCTCCACTGTTTAATGTCAGGGGTTGGATTCCAGAAGATCTCAGAGTTATCAGTCTTTTTGTCATTAATGAAAACTTCACTATCCTATGTTTAAAGGAATTAAACATTAGTATAGTTATTATTATTTAAAAGAGGATTACTCATTATAGTAACACACTAACAAATTCTTCCTGCCACTAAAATGTAAGTAGTACATTTCTAAAAATCCAAAATCCTTTCCATTTGTATAAAAAGAACAGTTTAAATATGTAATACCTAGCAATTAGAAAAGATGGCTGACTGAATAGAGAGTTCATGAAATTTTCTAAGTTTTACTTAAGGAATTTCAATGTTACAAGCAAAGCCTCAAGTTCCATGTCTGGACTGTCCCAGAAGAACATGGTGTTGGTAGTACCAGAGATGCTGTGTGCGATATAGGAAATCAAACCTCCGAGTCTTTATTAGCAATCAAACTTGAAAACAATCTTAGACATTTTATGTTTTTAGAATAACTATCTATCCGGATGTGCTTTATTCCCAGCACCCAAGAGGCAGAGGCAGGCAGCTCTCTATGAGTTTGAGGCCAGCCAGGGTGCAAAATGAGATCCTGTCTCAAAATAAAGTGACAAAAATGACACTATCATTATTCCAAATAATATTCAGATAGGAGGTCAATTAAAACATTTTGCAGGGACCAGAGAGATGGCTCTACCGTAAAGGCACTTGTCACCAAGCCTGATGACCTATTCCTGAGACCCACATGATGAAAAGAGAGAACTGACACAACACCCCCACATACCTTAAAAAGCCATTTTGCAGAACCAGTATAGCTACTGCCTAAATTTAGCTTCATTTTTCATCCTTTTCTTTTTTGCTTATTATAATGCAGACTATCATATACTAAGCGCAAGTGCATCCAAGAAATATACCATAGTCCATTTCAGTCACTTAACACTTTGTAAGAAATTATATAAATATGAATCTAGGTTGACAGAGAAGTCAATCGAAGCCATTGCTTTTACATACCACTGCACTGTCCCATCCTCCTCCAAAAGAAAGACCATCCTAACTGGAATTAGTGAAGTGCTGTGCAGTGGAGTCCCAGGGCTCAGTTCTTAGCCCACTGCTTGTGTTACGCTAACTATTCAGATGCTCTGTGCTTTAGTTTCCTCCCTTTTCAAATGGAGACATCTTATATATGTATCCTAAAGATGGCTCAGCTGTAAAGGTGCCACCAATTCTGATGACATGAGCTTGATTCCAGGAACCCTCATGGTAGAATGAGAGCACTGACTCCTGCAAGCTGTCGTCTGACTTCCACATATGTGTAATGGCACATGTACATGTACATACACAAACACACACACATTAAATTAATGAAATAAAAAATTAAAGGGTATCTATGTACCTACTTCATGAAGTCTGACTAAATATTAAATGATAATACATTCTTAATATTGTACATAGTAAGTGCCACATAACTGATAGCTACTTCTGCTCACTTGAAAGTCTTAGAAACATAAAACATTACATAAAACAGTCTCATTAGACATAGTGCAATACCAAAACACCTATTTGTAGAATGGAGTTCAGTTAATTAGTGTTACTCTTACAATATGATTATTCATTTTTCTCTATCAGATAAAATCATTTTTATAATGTTAATATATAAAAATACTTACCCAATGGCCTTCCAGAGTAGCTAGGACTTCTTTTCCCAATTTAAGTTTCCCTGATATTTGATTAACATAATCACTACTCCCTAGAAATGGCTTTAAAAGAAATTGAGCATTTTAGTTTATCTTAAATATGTTATAGATAACCACACATCAAAAGAATTATATAGTTACCATGCTCTTGAAAGTAAAAACAGTGTAATCCTGACTCAAACTTAAGTTAGAGACTTTTAATAAAAATAAATTTTAATTGTGACTGTGGAAAATATAGCTAACAACATACTATGAAATCTAAATAATTCAGAAAGATCACAAAGGTATAAAGATACATGACCTATGAGGTCCAGAGTACTGTTCCTGCCAAACCTCCAGGTCTGGAAACACATTATGAAAAACAACTCAGACAACTGATAAAATTTAAAAATTTTAAAACAGTCCTTCTAAAAAAATAAAGGTAGAAGGAATATACTTTGGATTACTATATTGTCTTGCTAATGTGTTTCCTTAGAGACAAATTTTTTCATTCTTTGATGACTTAATGACATTAGTAGTTGTTTAAGATCACTTTCATAATAATTTTCAAACTAGTATCAACACATACGTAAAGGCAGGCAAAGCAAAGGGCACTGCATCAATAATACTTAAATATTCCTTTTCATTAGAAAAGAGATTCTGCTCGTAGAAATATCAACAGGGAAGTAATTAACAACAACTATTATTATAACAACAACTATTATTCATCTATTTTCATCTGAACACAATGTACTAAATGATAAACGACATTGTGAAAAAGATTCAACATTCTCTTTTGCTGAAGCAGGCAGAATTTTCCAAAGATGGCTTCAACAGTACCTACGCATTTCCTCTCCAGCCCCCATCTACTTCTTCAATGAGATCTTCCCAGCCTCCTACTGAGGAATGCATAAATATCCCTCTTCCCCTGAGCTTGGGTGGGTGTATAACTCTTCAGAAGACAGTGGACATGTAAATTTGGCTTCTAAGACTAGTGGTGGAAGGCAACAAGTTCCCATCTTGCTACTGAGATACGTGTATTTGGAAAACCTTGTGCTGTTGAGTAAGGCCTCCAGCTACTTTAAAGCCTCCCATGCTTTCAAGAAACCAAGTCACATGAACTCAGTAGCTGGCTCTCTGATCACCTCCCTCTGGGGGTGGGGGCAGCCTTACCAGGTCACAGAAGAAGACAATGCAGACAGTCCTGATAAGATCTGATAGACTAGGGTCAGATGGAAGGGGAAGAGGACCTTATCAGTGGACTTGGAGAGGCACATGGGAGGACATGAGGGAAGGAGGATGGAATTGGGAGGGGATGAGGGAACAAGCTGGGATACAAAGTGAATAAACTGTAATAAATTAAAAAAAATTAAAAAAAAAAGAGATAAAAAAAGAAAAGAAAAGCCAAGTCACAAAGAAGGGCCACATGAATAGGTGCTCAGAGTAACAGCTGTGGCCTTTCAGGAGTCAGACTTATTTTTTTTTTTTTAATTTTTTAAATTCTTTTTTTTTAAATTTTTTTATTATTACAATTTATTCACTTTGTATCCCAGCTGTAGTCTGCTCCCTCATCCCTTCTCAATCCCACCTCTCCTCCCATGCCCCTCCCCAAGTCCACTGACAAGGGAGGTCCTCCTCCCCTTCCATCTGACCCTAGCCTATCAGGTCTCATCAGGACTGGCTGCATTGTCTTCCTCTATGGCCTGGTAAGGCTGCTCCCTCCACAGGGGACGGTGATCAAAGAGCCAGCCAGTGAGTTCATGTCAGAGACACCTCCTGCTTTTCTTACTAGGGAGGCTGAGCTGCCATGGGCTACATCTGAGCAAGGGATCTAAGTTATCCCCATACATGGTTCTTAAACCTAGGTACTCTTGAAGGATAACTTGTGCTCTTTACTACTGAGCTACCTCTCCAGATATTTTCTTTTTTTTTCTTTTTTTTTTTTTTTGTGGAGTCAGACTTCTAAGTGAGCCAGTCTTCAGTGGATTCTGGTCTCAATCGAGTCACTCATATTTTGCAAGATGTCCTGCTGCCCAACATTTTGTAAGAGACAAGCCATCTCCAATATGCCCTGTCCAAATTTCTGGGATATAAGTCTGATGAGGAGTAGCACATGAGCATTCTTAAGCATGTGGGTTCAAAGTAATTTTTTATACAGAAATAATAACTAGTATGAAATTGTGTTACTATATGCAACTAGATTCCCAATTCCTATCAACCTTCTGAAATTTTATAAAGCAATGTATTAATTCACAGAGATACTTCAATCATTTAAGGCTCATTTCCTCTATAGCACCAAGTTTTATCATTAAAATTAAAACAAATGGAACGGTGTTAATTTATCTCAAGTTGTACCATGACAAAGAATGCCCAGAATGCATTTCTCTGACCTGATATAATTGTGTTTTTTTATTTACTTCTTATTTCACAAATAAACTATATTTTTCTTCAGTATTTACAGTACAGCTTCCCCTTAATTAGGTAATGCCATTAAGGAAAAGTGTTGTTTCAGGACATCAAGACCATGTTTCCAGACCAAGTTCTCAGCACAAAGGAGATTTTTTTTTTTTTTTTTTTTTTTTTTGTCCCACAGGGACAGAGGGCAGACATAAGGAAAAAGAAGGAAGATAGAGGAAGAGGGAAAAGGGGAAGGGAACAACAGAGAGGGGAGAAAAGGGGCAAGAAAGAGGATTAATGGGTATTTGTCCCAGAGTGAGACAAAAGATTGCCTCTGGATAGAGAGGAGACAGACCTGGCCCGTAGAAAAATGGTGGCTTATAAAGGCAAAATGAGAACCCCTGTGTTTGGACGAGGTGTTTAATTTTAACTGGGCATGTTAATTAGATAATACAAAGGGGGCTTTTGATTGCTGGAGTTCAATCCTTTGATGGCTGGACCCTTGTAGTCAGCCTCAGGAGGAGTAATTGGTTGAATAAGGGAACAGATCTTGGTGGCTACCTTTAGGAATATAATATAACGGGTTTTAGCAAGGCAGAGGGAACAGGGAAGAGAAGCAAGGTGATCAAGGGGGCTAGTGTCCCTTCAAACCTTATTTACCAACCTTTAATTTAAATTCAAGTACTGCACTGTATCCAGTCTTTTGACAGGTAATATTGACGGTTCCACCAAGCTCCAGTGTCATTGTGCCATAAAGAATTCCTAAAGGCAGAACAATTACAGAAGCTTGAGGACAGAGATACTGAGGGAAGACAAGCAGGTTTTGTAACTTGGTAGTCTTTCGAGGAGAACCCTGTGATCTAAGGGCCTTTTGGCCTCACTCCCTAAAAACTGCAATACATACATAGAGTCTGTCTTAGTACATCAAAAAAGTGTATTCACATTCTTTCTAGTTGGCATTAGTATTTAAAGTATGGAGGTGGGCCAATGAGACGGCCTGTAAAAGCACTTCCCGCCAAATCTTATGGTCTGAGATGGACTGCAGGGGCACACATGATAGAAGGAAAGATCCTACTCCATAGGTCATCCACCTCCACAGGTACATACTGAGTGAGTGTAATAAACTTGCAACAACAAATGTAACCTTCAAATCACTAACCACTGTGCTTTGTGCTACTTCATGGACATGCTTGGGAGGAAACTGGGCCCACTGTGCTACTTCAATGCCCATTCTGTTGAAAACAAAACAAAAACAGTTCTTCTGCAAGGTATTATGGTCTTGTGTTTTGCACTTCTGTGCTTTTTTGTTGGCGATTTTGCTGTTGGAACTGATCAGTGAAATGCTGAAGTGCTATGGTGTATTGCTGTGAAATACAAGGTTCTGATGCGCCTTACCGAGGAACCTGTGCTAATGCTTCATTCACTGAGTTACAGTGTTAGCTGACAATTTGGTGGGCTAGCAAAGAATCAATAACAAAATGAACCTCAAGCAAAATGTCTCTAAATACAAGCACACATAATACAAGGTTATGTGCTCATTAGTTGATGGAAATACTGTCATAAGAGACTATAAATAATGTAACCTCATTACTTTCTCTAGAAACAATGATTCAATATGTGCCAATTCTGTGTTTGTTGTCACTTTATAGGATATAATTACTACAAATAACAAAAACCAACTTCAGCTAAGCAAACAAACATAACCATGAAAATAAGTTCTGTGTTCAAAACACATTCTAAGTTAAAGAAAGTTGACCAAACTTGTAAGCATGTATGTTTTTGTTGAATTGTACCACTGAGGTGGTCTTTAGTAGGCAAACACACATGTTAGTTTCTGAGAGAAAACAGACAATGAAATGTTGTTTCTCATATTTATTTGGCCAGTGAATGCCTATTTTATAAAATAATTCATGAAACTTAGCAATATAGAAAACACATAGAAAATTGTATTTTTTTTTAATTACAATTCCCTGTGCTTTAATCTCATTCCCCCCCCCCCCACCAAGCAATACCCTGCTATGGAAAAAAAATTCTCATTGATAGTTGGACATTGATGTAATAAATGATATAAAATTTTTAAATGTTGATTATTTAAAATTGTATTTTATTTCACTACTATTTTAAGAACTATGTACAGAGCCTGAGCATTATCTAGCTTTTTTAGCAATATTTTACCAATATTAGGTGATGCAGAACACATCAATGACCTCAGCAGTAGGGAGGCTGAGGCAGGAGAATCCTGAGTTCAAGGGCAGCCTGAGCTACACAGCAAGGAAATAACTCAAAGAAACCAAATCTCAACTTAAGAAAAAAAATTGTCAAATGAGTGAAGAAAAAAATTTAAAGGACTTGAAACATTGAAAAACAACAGATTAAACCTTATAGAGAGTATTAGTGAAAAGTAAATAAAATAAATTTCAAGGATTCCAAAACAGATTTCACTGAATTTCAAAACTTTCACAGGAGATAAAGGCAAGGAAATTCCATTATTTAAATCTGTCTCTTAAGGAATGAATCACAAAAAGGTATGGCAGTTATGTGTGAATTACTTTACCATAGAAACAGTAAGCAAACAGCAACACTTTTCACGCAACTGTAAGCCAAGGTTTTCTAACAAACAGTTCTGAGTTTATCTCAAACATAACAATTTCCAGACACTTACATTTACTTACAAAGAAGTTTTCAGAAACATGTGATATAAGTATGGAAAATATTTACCTTTACAGTGAGCATATGGCATTGTCATTACATAATCTTCACCTCTATTCAGGAAGGTTAACCGTGCTTCTCCCTCTAGTATTGCAGATAATGAGTTTCCTAGAAGAAAATTTATTATTAAATGTCACAAAAATGAATCCAACCGATTCAAAACAAAGTATATTTGGGACATCTACTACATTCCTGAAGTAGAAATATTCAAAACATCTCAATTTTAATACATGTGCCAAAACATGTGCTCAGCACCCTATAACTAAAACATTACTTGAATTAGATTCAAAATCTTGAGGGTTAGTTTGTTTGTTAGGGTTTCTCTGTGTAGCCTTGGCTGACCTTGAACTCAGAGATCTGCCTGCTTCTGCCTCGGCTGGGATTAAATGCATGTGCCATGACCACCCAGCTAAAATAAGTCTTTTAAAAGGTATACTTAGGTATTTTTTTAGGAAAGTCAAATGAAAATCCCATTATGTACAATAGCCAACAAAACACTGTTGCATGGCACAGTTTAGTTTGTCTCTTCTGAATCAAAACACTTATCTCTAAGTCACACATGGGTAAGTGTGAAGTTTTAAATATAATTGATTCAATAATTATATAAATGCTTAAAAATACACAAAATCCAAGTGATAAAATGCCATAGTGATTTCTTCTAGCTTGTCTCTCATGTTTTTCCTTTTCTTAACATCTGCATCTTTGATGAGGTATAATTACCATTCAATGAACAGCCTATTTTAAGCATTAAGTGTGATAGTATGAGGTACTGCAGAGAGTCAAAATTACACTGCTGAACCGGCTTGCTAGCACAACCTGTATCAGCACTTGGGAGGTGGACACAGGAGGGCTGGGGCTTCAGCATCATGATGCCTGAACTACACAGAAAGGTCTTAAATGACTAAGGGTTGAGAATGTAGTTCAGTAGTACTGCACTTATCTACCATGCCCAAGGCTAGGGTTTGATCCCCTGATCACTTATCACTAATCTATTTATCTGCTTATGTGTCCTACCCTACCCATCTACATAACCTATCTAAACTATTATCCTAAAAGATCCCCATTATTCCAGTGGAAACACTGATCTGTTTCCTATCAGTGTATTTTTACCAATTCTTGCAATCACTATAGAATGTATAATTTATATTTGGCTTATTTTACCTAGCACATATGTTTTAGATTTGTCTATCCTATTGCATCAAACATTCATTTTTTTTAAATCAGTATTTTTTAATAATCAGTATTCCATAGCTACAAAAAGGTCTATAGGAGTTGATGCTGGATTCTGTTTATCAGTCTTGAACTATTAGGAATCATATTGTGAACATTTATATTAAAGTCTGCAAACATTTGTGCAAAACCATGACATCCCCCTGGCCACCAAACCACCCCAGCCTCTGGTAGCTACCATTCTACTATCTCTAGATCAATTTTTCTAGATTCCAACATGAGGGATGCCACATGATATCTGTCTAATAGGCTTCCTTCGAAGTTTTACATAATCTCCTCAGATGCTTTTACTTAAAGAAAATCATGAGGACTTTTTTTTTTTTTTAAGTGCCCTTGGAAAGTCTGGATTCTTTCAAATTATAAAAAGCCAGCCCTGGCGCATATGAGTTGTATTAATACATAATCAGAAGAAAGCAAAGTACAGAAGCAATACCAGGACATAAACCATGAACCTGGTGCTCAGTAAGACATGTCTATAGAGTAGAACAAGTACACATTAAAGCCACTTACATTGTAGCTGGGATGGGTATAGGGACTGGAGCTTGAAAGGAGAAGGAGTAATCTCAATATAAAATATGTGAAATTTTTGAAGAAAAAAAAAACCCAATCCAAATAAAAAGCAAAATTGAGCAAGGGGTGTTGAAAAACTAAAGACAATTGGCATGCTCCTAACAGAAAGCTGCTTTACTTTAGATTTCCTGTCATAGACTAGTTTCTGATTCTCTGACCTCTCACATAATTAAAATTTAGATTTCTGACCCTTATGTTTTTCCCCCTCAGACTTAAAAATCCCTTAGTTAAAGCTAATTCTCTGAGTTTTTAAATATCTTTAAAATTAGAAAGCTAAACAACAGCATTTAAATAAATAGTTTTGACTATGTTTTCTTTGAACTGTCAAAGGCACTGTATTAAGGTTTGCTACTAAAGTCCTTTCTTGTACTGACAAATATTTTCAATAGTAAGTTATTTGGCTCTGGGTTAAATACCATTACTGAATGATCCAGGACCACAGTGACTTTTTCTATTCAAAGCGAAGGATCAATTCCCTCAGGTACACCGAAATAAAATAAAGCAAGACAAATGGATGAAGATAAGGGCAAAGCAATCCACCATGCATGAGAGATATGGTAGGCACTCATTGTGTGCTTTTACAACTATGTGATGAAGTTAGATAAAGTGTGCCTTACTTCTAAATGTCCAGCAACTAAAAAGGAGCCACAATTCAAGATGATGCTTAAATGACGTGAATTCCTTGCCAACAATGACAAATAAAATTTATTTATTTACAAATAAAAACTTACCAGAAAACACGACATTATGGAAAAGCACAGTTTAGGATAAGGGAAAACTCACCATAAAACTTGGACTTAGCCAGGATGCTACCACTAAGGCAAAATCCATCTTTCCGGTTACTAACATAAAAGGCAGATATTGGTGGGTGATGGGACACCTATTGAACACAGAAAAAACCATGACATTTAACAGTGCAAGCATACTACCATGCTAGTATCAGAAGTTCAACTCTAAGCATGACTAAGAAGGAACCGTTGGTAAGCAACAGAATGAATGTTAATCATTACAGTAATCAGATTTCTTTCTCCAAGGAAATCCACCTCCTGGCATTTACACCACAAGGCAGGGTGGAAATGCTAATATACCATTTCTAGCTTGAGCTTATGATATGGCTTCCATGGGGGAGGCTTTTAAGACTTTCCTCCTCCCACATACACACTTGCAGAAAGGTCTGAGTAACCAGTATTTGTGCTGTTTAAAACTGTATGGAAGCACCACATGCTGAGGAACTAAATTCTCTTCTCAACAGCATGAACTAGATGATCACAGAAAACAATTGTCCACCCTAATCAAATGTAAGAATAGTACACACTGGCTGACATCCTGACTGCAGCCACACAAGACAGCCAAGCCTGATGGACTGTGACATCAATGCTCTGTAGTGTGGGATTTGGTAGTGTTCAGTACTCGAATGCTCAATGCTGATCAAACCTTCCCTAACAAGAAGCTAAACAACAGTGATTTTACCAAGTTAGCATTTCTCACAAAAATGTCCCAGTGCCTTCAGGATCCTTTGAATAACATGCATTTCTCATACCTGTTCAGCAATATAGAAAGTTTTGCTGTTTGTTCTGGGATGAGTCCATAAACAACGGAAAGTCTCACCAAGTATAGGATTATATGGTTTCTTCAGTCCCTGGTTTAAAAAATACATAACTTTAAAATCACAGGTTCAAAGTTAAACTGTCCAAAAGAGCACCTCATAAAGTTTCACAGTAAATGAAATTTATATGAATTTAAAATATACCTCCAATCAAGATACTGTCTAAATGCAAAATTTGTAATTCCATGGTAACTGCTAATAAAAAACAAAAGATTATGTATAAAAACTTAAAAAAAGAGAGAGAAATCAAGAATATATGGAGATGAAAGAGGCAATGGGGGTGAAAATGACCAAAATATACTATAAGATTATACTTGTGTGAAAAATCTCAGAGTAATAAATAAAAATTTAAAACTAAGAAAGCAACTTTATGAGATGCAGGACATTCTTGTAAGATGTTGCCTCAAGAGAATAATGGTTGTTTTAGAAAAAAAACAAGACAAACCAAAACAACAACAACAAAACCGAAAAGTGACTGCCCCAGCAGCACTATCCAGTCATCTGCTGGAGGCTGAGTCTGGTCGGTATTTTGGTTACTACAAAATAGTGCTACAATGAACATAAAGGCATAAGTATCTTTTGAATATTTACTGGGTATTTACACAGTATTAGAAATGCCAGATAATACAGTATTTGTAGGTCAACATCTCCATCTTTTAGTTCTTTTGAGACAGGCCTAAAATTTGAGTGATGTGTTCAGGTTCACAAATACAGTTCACAATACTCTTAGAAATAAAAACTAAATTTTCTACTTTCTGTTTTGAAGCTCTTTCCATTCTATTGTGTATTAGTTCTCACTTACTGCTTGACCAGCACAATGCAAATGTACAGACTGTCCTAACTGAAGGAATATAAAATCTTCTTCATTATTACCACTCTTCTCTGTGGATACAGTGACTGTCACATCAGTAGGTTAGTGGTGGCATTTTTGCTGGTGGTACCTATCCTTGATCACTTTCCCAGATTAAAGCATTTTATTCGATTCTCATAATCTTTTCTTAGCAGAGCCACTGTTCCTTCAAACCTATCTCTCCTTCTTGCTTTCTGACTGTAGTCCTTGCTAGAGAAAATAGAGAAACGAGAATACAGGAAGACTCCTCTAGCTATAACTATCACATTAATGCTTTTCCTCTTATGGATTTACTTATGTAACATTTACCAGTCTATTCTAATGATTAAGAAAATGAATGATCACAAACATAAATTGCACTAAGATGCTTTTGAGAGTTCAGTTAGCTTTCCTGTGTGCTTTAACAGCAGCACAGAGGGTCAGTGAGAGGCTACAGCAGGGAAAGGCGCTTTGCTCCCAACTGTGGTAACTGGATTGATCCCCAAGATTCGCATGATGTAAAGACAGAACTGAGCTTCACATGTGCACCATGGCACCCACATACCCACACAAATACATAAACATAAATTCCCCTAAAAGAGGGTAGAAGAAGCAAAATATAAGCCTTACCTTTGGCTTCTTATAGAATCCTGACAAATACCACTTCACGACTTTCTTCAAACGGAAATACGGATTTTCTTCAAGAGCAGCTCTAAAAAAACAAAATGGTAAATATAATCATTTTAAGCAATCACAAATTCTTTCATACCTTCTATGACTTACAGCTGGAAACTTAATTCATATTCAAGTAAACAGTAAAAGAATCATCTAAATTTGCTTCTAGAGTACTTTTCCTTGTTGCTGCAGAGTTAACTCAGAGGCTAAAACTGCTCACTCCTCTAGTAAGGGACCAGAGGTCCATTTCTAGCACCCTTGTCCAATGGCTTACAACTGCTTGTAACTAACTCCAAGAGATCCAATGCCCTCTTCTGGCCTCTACAGACACCTGTATTCATGTGCACATACCCCTTCCTGGCTATAACAGGTATACACGCAATTGAAAAAAACTAATAAAAAATAAATCTTTAAAGAATCAATTTTTTGAAAAAAAAAATATAGTTAGCTTATTACATTTTTTTCAGATTCTTTGGTGTACTACCCAGGACACTAATGAAAATGTTTTTGGAAATTCCAAACCAAGTTTCCAAAATGGGGTGCTGTAGAACCCAAGATTAGGAGTCTGTGATTAACTGTAATTAAAAAATTAACACTCTGCTTTTCGAAAGGGCTACAGATGTAATCTCTTAGCTTCCTCTTCAGGCCATCTGCTGCCATGCCTCCCGAGATTATGGGTTCTCTCAGGAACCATAAACAAACAAACAAACAACCCTTAAAAAACCCCAAAGAATAACAAAAAAACCCAAAACAAAAAAACTTTTTTTCTTCCATAAAAAAACTCCAAGTAAACAAATACAGATTTTTTGAGACTTATGCATTGTGTTGTGCCTTGAAAACCAGTCAACAGTTTGATTAAACGTCTTCGGTCAGTGAAAGATTATGGACCACTGGTCAAGGGTTGCATCTAATCTAAACAGTATTAAGAGATTAATGGTATTCAGAGGAAAGACCGGTAGGCTGGTGTTAGCGTTTAAGAAATTGGGAAGAGCCATGACTCAACTTACCTCTCTCCCAGACTATTTGACTATTGTTGTGAATGTTCAAAGTGATGTTTACTGACAAATTGTTTTTATTTTTGTGTGTAATGTAGCTATATATTAGGTCCTTATTTATAAAAAGGCATTCTCTTTCACAAGTGTATGTAAGAGTGGAATCTGATTTTTGAAGATATGTTCAAGGTGACAGAGGCTAGATTTAGGTTTACCGACAATTGAAAATGTTGAGTTTTTCTTTGTTAACAACCCACTAATTGCTCTCTTCCTGTTTTAAAAATTCTTCTTAGGAACCTTTATTTAAAACCTTACACTTACATAGCGCAAGAGCCAAAGCAATAAAGAAGTTTATTTATCAGCAGCGTATGCAACTGAAGTGTACACTGCACCAACCTGATTTCATCACATTATATCTACTTACTCTTATGGATAGTTTTGTGGAGGTTTAAATGAGAAATGTTCCCTGTAGACTCAGGCATTTGAATACTTGGTCCCTAGTTGGTGGGTACTGCTTGGGGAAGATTAGGAAGTGTGTCTTTGCTGGAGGAAGTATGTCACTGGGGACAGACTCTGAAGAGCACACAGCTCGCCCCACACTACTTTGCTCTGTTCTCCATTTGTTCCTGAGATGTAATGTTCCCCACTCCTGCTGCAATGCCTGCTCCATGCTGGCATGCCAGCCCTCCTCCTGTGTCCTAAGTGCTGAGCCATCTCTCCCTCCCCTGTTTATTATTTTAAGGTACAACCTCCCCACTGGTGAAAACTGCATGTAATAGAAATTTACCATATGAATTATAGATGCCTGCTTTCTGTTCTAAGATGTACTTTCCCAGACAGAGAAGGTAAAGAACTACAGAGCACACAAGTGTAAAAGCTCTTCACCAATGGCATATATGGTCAACACTATCTTGCTACAGCTTTTTCTTGTTTCCAGGAGACCCACATTTAAGAACTGTTTCTGTTACACCTTTCCTACCTCTTTTTCTACACGTTATTGGATATCTTCACTCTATTTCAAAGAGATAGCTTGCTAGTTAGTTATTTTTATTGGGGACAGGGGGGGATGAATCAGTCTTTCTATATAGACTTGACTGGCCTCAGACTCACAAGCAACTCTCTTAGCCTCTTGAATGCTAAGATAACAAATGTGCACTAACATGTCTGGCATTAAGAGTTCTTTTTATTTTAGGAGAATTAATACTTTTAATCTACTACATGATATACAAAGTTTTCTTGTAACACACCAATCATCTCGTGATTCAGCTGATGTTTTTAATGTTTACTACTGTAATAACTATAACAGAATACAGAGACTAAAACAGATATTAATGCAGATACTTAAATCCAAATCACTGGACCAAAACTTAGTAGCACAGACAATGGTGCCACAAGACTCACAGCTGTGGCAGCAGAAGGCTGAGCACAAAATTGCTTTTCCCCCCAGAGGATGACCACAGGCCTCACTCTTTCTCAGATGTTACCTACCTGCTTTTTTGAGACAGGGTCTTTCACTGGCCTCACTGAGCCCCAGAAATCCACCTTTTCCCACCTTCCCACTGCTGAGATTACAAGTGCATGCCACCATGCCTGGTTTCTGTTACATTCTCAAGACATTCTCACAGCATTCAGGGATTTTCTATTTATAGATGCATCTACTTACTCAGACAGGAAATCTGCATGGTAGTAGTAATCTGAAAGTTTATCCAGGAAAGAACGGGGCTCCAAGATAAATGTAGGAAGAACCACCCTGGACAGATCCATGCCGGGACGAACTTGCTTGAGCAGAGTCCAGATAAGGCTTTTATTTTCTTCAGACACAGTTTCCGTTTGAGAAGCCTCACCTGCCTTTAACAATCAACAAAGCACTGAACTATTACATTTATCTTAGATACAGACACACAGGCAAGACAGTGAATGATAAAGCCTGACTCTGCAGGACTACTCCAAGCATTATGGAAATGTGCAAACAACCATTTAGGTAATAAAGTCTAGGCTATAAAAGTAAAAGGAGACTGGCAAGAAATAGCTAACACATATAAAAGAACCAAATTCTATTATTTTATTTGTTCAATTAAAAAATTTTTTTTTGAGGCAAGGTCTTGCTATGTATCCCAGGATGTTTTGAAATTTGCACACTTGGGGGGTGAGGGACACAAGATGGCGGCTCCAGGACAACACTGCCTCTGAGTAGCAGGACAACATTTTCCCTTCAGCGACCAAGAGACTCAACTCTGGGCCCCAAAACAACAGCAATCGTGTTTCCCAGGTGAGAGGAAACCCCCACAGCATGGGAATCAGTCAGGTCCACTCTCAGGTCACCCAGCCAGAACCTAGATTTTGCACAGGCACTAGGTCGCCAGACCAGAGCCACACGCCTGCGTGTCCTGATCACCTTCCCAGGCTGATTGGTGGGCACAAAAAACTCCAGAGACTGGGAGTCCCGGTCTCGAGAAAACCCCACAGGGAAGGAAGGAAATGGTACTGACTTGGGTCACCTAGTCTTTCCTGGAAAAAGACTCGCAGACCTGCGGGTACGAGCCGCCATCACTGTACGGGGCTCCAGCAGCGGGCACAGACAGTTGCTGCATGCCCAGCTCTCCCGCACAGACAGAGCTTTACGCCCTAGGGCAACAGAGACTGGGAGTCACTGTCCAGAGAAATACTCACAGGGAATGAAGCAAAGGGAACAGACTTAGGCCACCCTGTATATCCCTGGAATAGGCCCCACAGACCAGCCCAACCCAGGGACCTGCTGTGCACCAGATAGCCTGCTGTTACCAGGAGAGCGGTACCCACCCGCCACAGATTACCGCTTGGGTACTGGAACACAAAGCCCCAACCTCAGACCTACAAAAGCCCAGAATCCCCAAGATCAAACCCCAGATACTACTCCAAGGGTCGACCAGTTATTCCTAACAAAACTGACAGGTTACAGCAACAGATCACTAAATTTACAGTAAGAAACCCAGAAGCATAGCAGCAGTCTCCAGGACTTCTCCGGGTTAGAGGAGAACCCTCTCAACTAACAGGGACCACAGTTACCACTCAGTCTCTAGGCCTGAGGTGAGCAGCGGCAACTCCTGAAAAACACCGGCCATCCAGTGACTACACCCAAAAAGCTGAGAAGGCTTCCCTCAGGAAAAACCATATTCCTGCCAAAGGGAATTCTCTCTACCACAGGATTCCAGAAACCACCAGAAACTAACACCCAACAACTAAGAAAGCCCAATTGGTAGAGGCCAGCATAAAAGATCAACCAACAAAAGACAGAGCAATATAGCATCTCCAGAACCCAGTTATCCAGGGGCAAATAGCCCTGGACAACCCAGCATAATTGAAATTCGAGAAGATGACCTAACATCTATGCTCATGAAGAGGATAATAGAGGAAACAAATAAAATGCATAAAGACCTAGAGGAAGATAAACTCAAACAGATTATGGCCACCCGTAAAGAAATAGAGGAAGATAAAAACAAACAGATTATGGCCTTTAGAGAGGAAATGCTTAAATCACTGAATGAAATAAAAGAAACATAGGATTGCTCAAACAAACAGCTGAAGGAATTGATGGAAAAAACGGGAAAATACAGTTAGACAGGTGAAGGAAATCAACAAAATGGCTCAAGATCTGAAGATAGAATTGGAAAAATTAAAGAAAACACAAATGGAGGAAATCATGGAGAGAAAAAACGTAGGGAAGAAAACAGGAACTACAGAGGTTAGCATAACCAATAGACTACAAGAGATGGAAGAAAGAATCTCAGGTGTGGAAGATACAATGGAAAAAATAGATGTATCTGTCAAAGAAAATATTAAATATAAAAAATTCCTGACACAGACTGTCCAAGAAATTCAAGACAACATAAAAAGACAAAACCTAAGAATAAGAGGAATAGAGGAAAAAGAAGATTCCCTGCTCCAAGGCCCAGAAAATATTTTCAACAAAATCATTGAAGAAAATTTCACCAACTTAAAGGAGAGGCCAGTAAGAATACAAGAGGCCTACAGAACACCCAATAAATTAGACCATTTAAAAAAATCCTCCCGCCACATAATAATCAAAACAGTAAGTATACAGAACAAAGAAAAAATACTAAAAGCTGCAAGGGAAAAAGGCCAAGTAACATATGATGGCAAACCCATTAGAATCACACCTGACTTTTCAACAGAGACTATGAAAGCCAGAAGGGCCTGGACAGATATCATGCAGACCCTAAGAGAACACAGATGTCAGCCCAGGCTACTCTACCCAGCAAAACTCTCAGTCCTCATAGACGGAGAAAACAAGATATTCAATGACAAAAACAAATTTCAAAAATACCTACACACAAATCCAGCATTACAGAAGACACTAGAAGGGAAAACAACCCAAGAAAACTAACTAATTTCAAGAAAACACAGGAAATAATTAACTCACTACCGTAAAACAAAAAGCAACCAAACACACAACCTTATGACCACAGCCAACATCAAAATCAAAGGATCTAATAGCCACTGGTCATTAATCTCTCTCAACATCAATGGACTCAACTCTCCAATAAAAAGACACAGACTAACAGAATGGATTTTTAAACAAAACCCAGCAATCTGTTGCATACAAGAAACACACCTAAGGCACAAAGATAGATATTACCTGAGGGTAAAGGGTTGGAAGACGGCTTTCCAAGCAAATGGACCCAAGAAACAAGCAGGAGTAGCCATTCTAATATCTGATAAAAGAGACTTTCAACCAAAATTAATAAAAAGAGATGGGGAAGGACACTTCATACTCATCAAGGGAAAATTCCACCAGGAAGACATCACAATTCTGAACATCTATGCCCCAAATACAAGGGAACCCACATTTGTAAAAGAAACATGATAAAATTTAAACCACATATAGATCCCCACACATTGATAGAGGGAGACTTCAACACCCCACTCTCAACAAAGGACAGGTCAACAAAACAGAAATTAAACAAAGAAACAATGTCTCCAACAGAGGTCATGAATCAAATGGACCTAACAGACATTTACAAAAACTTACACCCAAACACAAAAGAATTTACCTTCTTCTCAGCACCTCATGGAACCTTCTCCAAAATAGACCATATAGTTGGTTACAAAGCAAGCCTCAACAGATACAAGAAGACTGAAATAATCCCTTGTATCCTGTTGGATCATCATGAAATAAAGCTGGACCTCAACAACAACAGAAATAACAAAAAGCCTACACACACATGGAAACTGAACAACTTGCTATTAAATGACAGCTGGGTCAGGGAAAAAATAAAGAAATCAAAGTATTCCTAGAATTCAATGAAAATGAAGGTACAACATACCCAAACTTATGGGACACAATGAAAGCAGTGCTAAGAGGAAAGTTCATAGCACTAAGTGCCTACAAGAAGAAATTCGAAACCTCTCATGCCAGCAACTTAATGGCTCACCTAAAAGCCCTAGAAAAAAAAGAAGCAGACACACCAAAGAAGAGTAGATGGCTGGAAATAATCAAACTCAGGGCTGAAATCAATCAATTAGAAACAAATAAAACAATTCAAAGAATCAATGAAACCAAGAGCTGGTTCTTTGAGAAAAATCAACAAGATCGACAAACCCTTAGCCAAGCTAACTAAAAGGCAGAGAGACACCACCCAAATCAACAAAATCAGAAATGAAAAGGGGGACATAACTACAGACACTGAGGAAATCCAAACAATCATTAGGACTTACTTCAAAAGTCTATACTCAACAAAATTTGAAAATCTAAATGAAATGGACAATTTTCTTGATCGATTCGACTTACCAAAACTGAATCAGGACCAGGTAAAGCAATTAAAGAGCACTATATCCCCCAAGGAAATAGAAGCGGTAATTGAAAGTCTCCCATCCAAGAAAACCCCAGGACCAGATGGTTTTAGTGCAGAATTCTACCAGACCTTCAAAGAAGAGCTAAACTCTAGTTCTCTTCAAACTATTCCACAAAATAGAAACAGAAGGAACACTATCAAACTCATTCTATGAAGCCACAGTCACCTTGGTACCTAAACCTCACAAAGACTCAACAAAGAAAGAGAATTTCAGGCCAATCTCCCTATGAACATTGATGAAAAAATGCTCAACAAAATACTTGCAAACCAAATACAAGAACATATCAAAGATATCATCCACTATGACTAAGTAGGTTTCATCCCAGGTATGCAGGGGTAGTTCAATATACAGAAATCCATCAATGTGATTCACCATATTAACAAACTAAAAGAAAAAAAACCACATGATAATTTTATATCCGGCCACTTTGCTGAAGGTGTTTATCAGCTGTAGGAGTTCCCTGGTAGAGTTTTTGGGGTCACTCATATATACTATCATATCATCTGCAAATAGTGATAATTTGACTTCTTCCTTTCCCATCTGTATCCCCTTGATCTCCTTCAACTGTCTTATTGCTCTAGCAAGGACTTCCAGCACTATGTTGAAGAGATATGGAGACAGTGGGCAGCCTTGTCTTGTCCCTGATTTCAGAGGGATTGCTTTAAGTTTCTCTCCGTTCAGTTTGATGTTGGCTATAGGCTTGCTGTATATCGCCTTTACTATGTTTAGATATGTGCCTTGTATCCCTGATCTCTCCAGTACTTTAAACATGAATGGATGTTGGATTTTGTCAAATGCTTTTTCAGCATCTAGGGAGATTATCATGTGGTTTTTTTCTTTCAGTTTGTTAATATAGTGGATCACATTGATGGATTTCCGTATATTGAACCACCCCTGCATACCTGGGATGAAGCCTACTTGGTCATAGTGGATAATATCTTTGATGTGTTCTTGGATCCGGTTTGCAAGTATTTTGTTAAGTATTTTTGCATCAA